CTACGGAATTCATTAGAATGATAACAAGGCAACTGAAGTTCAGAGAGGTTGCTTAAGGCCTCCGCAGGAGTCAAAGGTCTGAGGGACCTGGGAGGAGGGGTAACTAAGAAATGGTGTTTAGCATAAGACAGGGTTGCTTGCGGTCCCGGCCTGAGCTGTCAATCGTCTGAGCATTTGAGTACGTGCTGTGTGGCCGGTTCAGGGCTCCCCGGTGGAAGAGATTAAAATGATAGAAGATGAGATTTCCTACCCCCAGAAAGACTGGCCTTTAGTCACCAATCCAAGAAGCCGAGAACATTTTATTTGTTTTGAAAACTTTACACCATCGTTAGAGGAAATTCTTTTTTTTTTTTTAAATTCCCCAATTGCATCTCCCAAAACAAAGTTAGCTTTTTGTGCTTTCTCCTAATTTGTAGCAGTAAGAAGACATAGTTTCCATTTTTCGACATACATTTTACAAATAATAATATTTGGTTTACAAATAGTCTTGTTCCACTTATTTTTACCTTTTCTGAAAACACATTTCCCTATCTCCTCTTAGTCCTCAGAGTCGTTATTCTCATGCTGCATTCCCTCATATGGCCACACCATATTTAGGCACTTTTCTGTTACTGGTTGATTCCAGTTTTGTTTTTTGTGTTGTTGTTGTTATTTTTTTTGGCATTATAAATAATGTGGCTATAAATATCTTTGTACATCCAGCTTTTTTTTTTTTTTTCCTTCTTTTAAATTATATTCTTGGGCTGAGGCCGGTTTGGCTCAGTGGATAGAGCATCAGTCTGCAGACTGAAAGGTCCCAGGTTCCATTCCGGTCAAGGGCATGTACATTGGTTGCGGGCACATCCCCAGTAGGGGGTATGCAAGAGGCAGCTGGTTGATGTTTCTCTCTCATCGACGTTTTTCTAGCTCTCTATCTCTCTCCCTTCCTCCTCTCTGTAAAATATCAATAAAATATATTAATAAATAAATAAATAAATAAATAAATAAATAATATCCTTGGAATCATGGCCCAGAAAGAGGAAGTATGGGTCAAAAGGTTGACTGTTTCATAGCTCTTACTACATAGATCCAGACTACAACTGATAACCTTTAACAACCAAATGAAGCAACTGAGGCTCATGGCCCTCACAAATGCACCAGTGCCCATGCCTGTAAAGATTATAGTGTAGCTGACTGGCGTGGCTCAGTGGTTGAGGTTACCCGCTCCATCCCCAGTGTGGGGTGTGCAGGAGGCAGCCGATCAATGAGTCTCTCTCATCATTGATATTTTATTTCCCTCTCCCTTCCTTTCTGTAATCAATAATATATATATATATATATATATATATATATTAAAAAGACTATTGTGGCCAAAACCGGTTTGGCTCAGTGGATAGAGCATCGGCCTGCGGACTGAGGGGTCCCAGGTTCGATTCCAGTCAAGGGCATGTACCTTGGTTGTGGGCACATCCCCAGTGGGGGATGTGCAGGAGGCAGCTGACCGATGTTTCTCTCTCAATTGATATTTCTAGCTCTCTATCCCTCTCCTCCTCTCTGTAAAAAAATCATTATATATATATAATTGATTTTTATATAAATATATATATTTATATATATAAAGACTATTGAGTAGAACAAGCACTGTTGGCACCTATGAGTATGAGGCCCATGCTGGCAGGCACACAGGATGAGTGAGAGAGAGGCAGGCCTCTCCTTGGGAGCACAGAAGCTGTGGCTTTTCAACCTTTTCCTCCTCCTAGAACACAAAGTACTTCAAACTGCTGCACACCTGAGGGCAGACTCAGAATTTAGCAATTCTCCCCACATTCCGCAAGGACTTGAAACACTAGCATGTTTTCTAATCAGCAGAATCTTAAAGCCAGTGGATTTGGGGCTTCCGTGAAGCCGGTGCTGGCTGGTTCCTGGCTGTAAGTCCATTCCTTTTTTCTCAGACTCAACGCATATCAGGATGCTAGGGGATGGGAGGGATGTATAGATAACATAAACCCACTTTGCTTTCTAAATGTAAGCAAACCCTTCCTAAAAATAGACATTGTGCTATGACACAATCAGAGAAGTAAGATGATCCTTTCAGGTGTAATCTGGTAGGGAGACCAGGAGACAGAACCCTGCTTTTATTTTAAATATATATTTATTATTGATTCCAGAGAGGAAGGGAGAGGGAAAGAGATAGAAACATCATTGATGAGAATCACTGATTGGCTGCCTCCTGCACGCCCCCCACTGGGGATCGGGTCTGCAACCCTGGGCATGTGCTCTTGACTGGAATCAAACCTGGGACCATCCAGTCCACAGGCCGACACTCTATCCACTGAGCCAAACCAGCCAGGGCAGAGCCCTGCTTTTAACAAACGCATTCAATTAAGTTCCCAGACCCAACTGGATTGTGGGCAACCCCCCCCCAACAAACAATTTTTAGACACCAGCAAGGTGTTCAAGAAATCAACTCAATTTCGACACTATCTACAAGACTGGGCCCCTACACACACACACACACACACACACACACACACACACACACACACCTCAGAAGCCAGCCTTCATCAGGCTCACACTTGCTATAGATTGGAAGTTCCAACGCTACCCAGGACGCTAAGCAATTTAAAGCTTCAATTGTTTATTTCTGAAACTTTCCATTTCATCCTTTCTGCCCGTGGTGACCACAGGTGATATAGATTGGAGGTTCCAATGACCCCCTCCAACTCAGAATGCGAATCACAAGTCTGGGTTGTTACCTGCGCTTCCGACTGACTTGCTATAAAATCAGAGGCCCCCAAACCTCCTCCTTGGGTTCAATTAATTTGCTAGAACAGCTCGCAGAACTCGGAGAAATCTGTTACGTGCTACAGCCCTGGTTTATTGTCCAAGGGTATGACTTAGGAACAGCCAGATGTTGAGATGCATAGGGTAAGGGTTTGTGTGTGGTTTTTTTTTGGGGGGGGGGAGGGGAAGGGGTGCGGTGCTTCCAAGCCATTTCCACGTTCACACTCTCCTCGCATCTCCTCGCGTTCATCAACCTGGACGCTCTCAAAAGCAAATCCACGGAACCCAATGAGGAGAAGGTTGTGGGAACCTCCGAGCTGAGGTCAGTCACTCTTTATGGAGGCTTTTTATACATAGGCATGGCTGATGGTGATTGATTCCTCTCCAGCCCCTCCCTCCTGCCGGAGGTGGGGGTGGGGGAGTACGGGATTGAAAATCCTAAACCTCTAAATCACCTGGTCCATTCTCCTGGCAACGGGCCCTCATCTATAGGTGCTTTCTAACCGTCACTTCGTTCGCATAACAAAAGACACCGCTGTCTTTCTCCACGCGGGACATTTTGTGGGTTTCTGCTGGGTTTTTGCGGTCGTGAGCCAGGAATTGTAGATGAAAACCAAATATTTTTGAGAAATATATTTTAGTCATCCGAATGCATACATATTATATATATGGTTTATACATCTCTCTATCGCATACATCGGGCATGTGCTCTGTGCCAAGCACAGCACTGGGGCCCTGGGGCAGGGTGAATGAGTGCCAAGAAAACTATGAGGGACCTGGCCCCAAAAGGGTAAGTGGTCATGACTATGGCCAATGCATTGCATTGGTTAAGTACTGTGTGCGTGCACTCGTCTAGACACTGGGATAATCTGATAAGACTGATAAGCACCTTACCCCCTCGTAACAAATGCTTAGGGGTAGGACAAGCGATAAGTAAAATGCAGAGCATGTCAGATGGTGATCAATACCATGGAGAAAAATAAAGCAGAGGAAAGGAAGCAGCGTCCAAGAGAGGAGGTTTCGGTAGGGCGCTCGGAGATGGTGACATCTGAACAAAGAGAGCCAGGGTGAGCATTCCAGACAGAGGCCCCAGGGCAGGAGCACTGGAGCCCGAGGTGGGGGCGGGGGGGGGCAGGGAGGAGAAGGGGGCCGTTGGAGGAGGAGATGAGGTCAGAGAGGGTGTGGGCCTCCTTGTGGGTGGCCCCATAAGCATGTTAAGCAGTTCGGCTTTACTCAGCGTGAAGCAAGGAGCCCGTGGGCAGCGGGAGACTCGGGACTGGGCTGGCACGGAGAAGGCAGGGCTGCAGAGGCCCCCGGGAGGCTGGTGGCAGGCTGGGACCCGGTCTTCCTACGCAACCCCGTGCCCTTTCCTCTCGTTAGCTCGCTCCTGGCCCGCCCAGACAGGAGGCCTGAGCTGTTAAGGTCAGAACCTACAGCGAACTCCAGCCTGGGAGACAAATTTTCCAGGGCGCCGGTTCTGAATTCCAAACACTGGACAGCACCGTGCGCCGGCCTCATGGGCATCACAAACGCGCCCAGACGGGATTCCCTGGCCAGGGGAGCGCCAGCTGGGGAGCAGCCCCGGGCAAGTCTTTTCACCCCAGGCCGACCCCGCTACCCCGGCCTGGGGTTAAAATGGGGCCCGGCGCCCTGTCTGCACCGCAGACTCCAGAGATCATGCGATTGCACCTTTTACACGTCCTTACCGTCTGCAAAAAGCACAGCGCTTTTTGTGTGTGTGTGTGTGTGTGTGTGTGTGTGTGTGTGTGTGTGTGTAATCTATGTTATTTATTTTATTTTAAAATTTAATTTTTATTTATTTTTTACAATTTTTTAATTAAATTATTACCGGTGTACATATCTTAAGATTGCCCCTTCCTCCCCATACATGCCCTCCCTCCCCAGAGCTTCTTATCGTCTTACAAAGCGCCCAGCCCGGGTCTGTCGGAACCTGCTTACTTCTCCCGAGCGCCCTCGGCGGTGCCGGGGTGACCCCCAGACCCGCCGCCAGGCTCTCTCTCGGGGCGCGGGGCGGGGAGGGCGCGCGGGGCGGGCGGGCGGCCTCCCCACGGCCTGGGCGGAGCCGCGCCCGCCCCGCCCGCCCCGCGCGCCCTCCCCGCCCCGCGCTCGCGCCCGGCGCGCGCACTCGGAGAGCCGAGCCGCCGGGAGCCCAGCGCGCCCGCCGCGTCCTGCCGCCGCGTCCGTCTCCGCGGGTCGCCGCTCGCCTTCGCGGGGCCATGACCACCGAGCAAATAGTCCTCCAGGGCCCGGGGCCGTGGGGCTTCCGCCTCGTGGGGGGCAAGGACTTCGAGCAGCCCCTCGCCATCTCCCGGGTAAGGGCAGCCCGGGGCGCGCGGGGAGCGGGGGCGCCGCGGCTGGGGAGCGGCGTGACCGGGGGCGGGGAGGGGACCTGGGCGGCCGGGGCCCCGTGGGCGCTGGCCGGACGGCGGTGTCGGGAGCCGGGGACGGAGCGGGGGCTGCGGGCGCGGCCAGGTGCACCGGGAGCCCCGCGCCTGGAGCGCTCCCCGCGCGCCCCAGGTCCGCCGCCCCTGCCCAGGCGCTGCGCTCCGGGGGGAGCCGCCCCGAGAGAGCCGGCGGCCGCTGCGCGCAGTGCCCGGGTCCGAGAGAAAGGACCGGGCACTTTTCTTCGATCCTTCGCCCCGGAGGCGCGTCCAGGCGTGTGTGGACGCCTTTGTCCAGCGGCCGGAGGATCCGGGTGCCCGCAGCCCCCGCGCACGGGGAGCGAACACCTTTCGGTCCTTCAAAGGTTCCGGGGGCGGAAGGTCGTCTGGAAGCGCCCGGGCCACCTGCACAGGGAACTGGGTGGGTGGGGAGTTGACCGGGGCGGTGAGGTGAACTTTAAACACCTCCCCAACGACTCGTTTCTCACTCTTCGGACCTGGTCCGCGGCCAGGTCTCACCTCCCTAATGCCTTTTGGGAAAAAGGGGGAATTTGGAGGGGGGAAAAAAACAAAAAACAAAAACACGAATAAACCTTTTGGGACCTTCTCCTCCCCCTGCGGGAGTGGCCATGATCGTATTTCTTCCTGGCATTCCCGGATTATCAGCCCATCTGCACTTTTCGAATCCCCGGGAATACTTGAATCAAAGGAATAAGGAAATTCTTAGAGAAGGACCTCATCTCTTTGGAAGGGCCCCGATTCCGTCAGAGACCTCCAGACCCTCACCCTCAAATAAAGCGGAACCCGCGAGAGATCCGGCCTCAGTGTGGAGGCCCAGGCTTTGGTCCTGAGCCCGGGGTACAGGCGAGGCTGAGGCCCCACTAAGAGCCATCCGGTCCACTGCCTGCGCCTGCAAGGCGGCCAGTCAACGTTTGTGGACCGAGTGAAAGAAAGGAGCCAAAACACTGCCCGGAGTTTTTTCCTTGCCTTCAGGCCTCATGTTCCATTCTTGGGCCCATCTGCTAAAGCGGACCCTACACTTGCCTCTTCAGCGACCAGATGATCCTTTTTCTTGGAGGGCAGTGAGAGTGGAGAGAGAAAGGGAAGGTCCCTATGGGTCCTTCTGACTTAAGCCCCTGCCACCAGCAGCTGAAGGAATACAGTGGGAGGAGCAGGAGGAAAAGAATCGAGGCCTCCTCTCGGCTTCTCCGCCCACACTTCCTTTCAGGTGGGGCTATGGGACTGAGGAGGTTTTCTCTGATTCCCCCTCGCCCCCACCTCCCAGAAAAAGGCAGGTGTCAGGAGTTCTTAGGCCCTATCTTCCCCCTCTCCCCCACCTGCTGCCCCGCAGGGACAGCTCTGATTATGGCAGGTGCAGGCTATCTCCCCAGAACCCTCAAGTGCAGAAAGGGTGCCTTCTCCTGATCTGGACTCCTTCCCCCACCCCCCACCCCCCCAGCCTGGCACCCAGCTGCACCTGGCCACGCCCAGTGAGTCTTTTCAGGCTTATTAATAAGTGCTTGCCCAGGGAAGGCACATTTAGACCCGCTTACCTCATAGTCCATTTGTCCCCACTCTTTGTGTCTATAATTAACCTGTCAGCCCTCTCTGCTTCTGAATTTGTGTATGACATGCAACCTTTTTTTTTTTTTTTTTTTAAGAAGTGGAAGATCTAATTGGCAATCTGTTAAAAGGGCAGTTACTTGCCTGGCATTTTAACTGCTTTCAGAAGTTCACGTGGGTGGCACTGCGTAGGTATGACAGAGTATGGGCTGGAAAGCAACACTGTAAATTCGTTAGTTTGTTCTTTCCGGTATTAATGGATTCATTTATGTACTATCACATGTTTAATCAGCACTTTCCTTCCAGAAACTGCAAAGCCCTGGGGGGGGGGGGTGGTCTCAGAAATGAGAGGGCACAATCTGTTCTCCAGGTGCCCATGGCCTCGTGAAGGAAGCTAATCGTTACCTTGGCAGGTGCTTTCATTGAGAAGTGGAAGTGACTCAGAGGAGGCGACCTTCTCATGCTGACAGTGATTTCCTTAGTATTTCTTCATCTCATTTATATTCCACGTGGAAAAACGGGGCCTGCTCCTGGGAATGGGAAAGTGGCCGCCTGAGATCTGGCGTTGGCCTGGCCTCTGCTGCTTCCTCTGCTTCCCGGGTGAGCCCTCCGTTGTGCAGGCCGCCTCCCTCCCTGCGGGGGAGATCCCGGCCGCCGGCTGTGAGGTGCGCGGTATGGGACAGCGCTCTGTGCACAGTGACCAACGGTGAGGAGGTGTGAGCGCTGAGCTGGCGAAGCACACGCCTTCCGGCTGGTAGGTGTGTTACAGTTAACATCCTGGGCAGACAGAGTTTGCTCCTGTGGATTTGGATCTGTAGACTTTGAGTCTCCACACCAAAGCAAACCATAAAGCTAGGCCGGGAGAGGAGTGCCTTTTTTTTTTTTTTTTTTTTTGCTTTCTTTTGCATGGATGATTCTGGTATTGGCTCTAGTCTTTTGTTAAATTGCTAAAGCTTCTGGATATAACTCTAATCCGTGAACTTGAAATTGTTTTTTACATATATATATGTATTTATATATTTATTGATTTCAGAGAGGAAGGGAGAGAGAGAGAAACATCAATGATGAGAATCATTGCTTGGCTGCCTCCTGCATGCCCCCTACTGGGGATCAAGCCTGAAACCCAGGCATGTGCCCTTGACTGGTATCGAACTTGGGGCCCTTCAGTCTGCAGGTGAATGCTCTATCTATTCACTGAACCAAACTGGCTCAGGCTTGTGTTTTTTGTTTTGTTTTTAATTTATTGATTTTTTTTTTTTTTTTTTTTTTTACAAAGAGGGAGAGGGAGAGAGTTAGAAACATAAACGAGAAACATCTATCAGCTGCCTCCTGCACACCCCCTTCTGGGGATGTGCCTGAAACCTTGATCAGAACCGAACCTGGGACCCATGAGTCCACAGGCTGATGATGCTCTATCCACTGAGCCAAACCGGTTAAGGCTTGTTGGGTGTGTTTTTTTCTTTTAACTTATTTTTTGTGAAGTAAAGTCCTAAAATATAATTGCACAGCAAACGATTATAAAGTAAATAATACCTGTAAAATCACCACCACCCAGGTCAAGAATAGAACATTGCCAGAGCCTGGAAGTTCACTGCCCATAACCCTATCATGACGTAGGCTTATCACCTTGCTTTTCTTTATGGTTTCACCACCCCAGTATGTTTCCTGAACACCAAAGCTTCATTTTCCCTGTTTCTGAGCAGGATCGTGCAGAATATGTTGTGTGTGTGTGTGTGTGTGTGTAGCTATGTTGGCTCCTCCATGTTTTCATCTATGTTATTGCGATGACTTAACATTTCCATCCAGCTTTTCCACTTTAAATGGACATAAATTAGCTTTCTTCCTTTCCCAGTTTCTTAACTAACTTCTACCTTGGATTCCCTGATGATGCCCTCATTGACCACTGTCCCCTGAGGTTTTTACCCCTGCTCCAAATCTGCAGTTGACGGTCCCCTTGAGTTTTTGTTTTTGTGTGTCAATTTCCTTAAAAAAAAATACATACATTTTTTATTGATTTCAGAGAGGAAGGGAGAGGGAGGGTCAGTGATGGGCTGCCTCCTTCCAGTCCCACACTGGGGATGGAGCCCCCAACTCTTACCGGAACCCAAGGGGGACCTCCTGGTTCACAGGTCAATGCTCAACCCCTGAGCCAGCCAGCTGGGCTCTATGTCAATTTCTCATTTCCTCCAGCTGCTTTCAAGGGAAGATTTCAGAGAATCCACACCCAGGTCCAAATTGCTGCAGAGTGGGTGTATGTTGACTGTTTTTCTCTCCCAGCAACTGACAAAAGACAGGAAGGGGTGGGGCCAGAGATAGGGGTGCCCTTGTGGGAGGAGCTGCTCATTTTCCTCTTGAGCCTGCGGTTTTGTGGCGAATTGCTCAATGTCACTAAGGGATGCCTAATCCTAGGTACTCGGGAGCCAGAGGGTCCTTTCTGATTTCTCAAGAGTGTCACATCCGGTTTACGTCCTATCATAAAGGTCAGGGCTCATCTGTCAGATTATGAAAACCAAGAAATATCTATGAAGGCTCATGAGGCGCTTATGGCCTTGGCTCTGTGCTCCCTCATCCTGTGAAACCCATTACCTGAGAAATTTTAGCTACTCCAGCGGGTCACAGCTGATCTAAGGAGATAGGGGAAGAGGATGGATCAAAGGGAATGATAGCATGTGAGTGCATGCTTGAGCCTCTTGGCCTGAAATTTACCGTGCCATGTCATGACCCCTAGCCAGAGGCCCCTCCCCCCCTTAGAGGATATAAAGGGGCTGGTTTGTCTTTGAGGAGGAGGAGGATAGAGGGAAGAAGAATGGCTTTAAAAGGTATTGCAGCCTGGCAGGTGACAGAGAGGGGGAGAGGATCAGCTAACCACTGAGGTCACACGGACAGTCCTGCTGGTCAGGACTGGAAAAGCACCAAGGAATTCCTTCGTGCTGGGACCAGGCTTGTCCAGGCTTCCACGTTGGCCTTCCACAGAGAGGAAGGCCAGGTCCCTGCGTAGCCTGGGTGATTGGCTGGGACTTAGGTTAGGGGTATAGGTGGTTGCACACGGGGCTCCTGGCGGCTCCTTTGGAGACTTGAGAGACTGACTTCTTGATACATTAAGGTATTTTGTTTTGCTATTATATTCCTAAGAAATGATGGTGGTTCTTTCAGACGGAGAGCAAAAAGTCTCTTTGAACTGCCACGCTTTGTGCTAAGAGCTTTCGTTTGCATGGAGCAAGAAATGACGCTTGGTTGAGGCACAGATCCTCTAATATACCCGAACCCCACTTTGGTGCCACATTTCCTTGAGAAAATGGCCATAGAGAAATCAAGAACGGTTTGACATGTTCTTGGGGTTTTCAGGCCAACCTACATAAAACCATACA